ATTATAGTATCAGATACTATATAAGTTGTATTTAATTATCTTCATTTGGAATTGAACTAGTATTCTGTGATCTGACTTGTAAGGTACTAATTATTGCACTATAGATTCATATGTTAATATTAATATCTATTGGATTAGTATATAAATTGATTTCTTATAAAAAACAGCATTTAACAAGTTATAGTATTAAATATTATATTAATTTTGTTTAATCACTTTTATATGAAATTAAATTGATATTTTGTAATTTGACCTATAGAGTACTAACCATTATACTATGAATCTACAAATTTAATTTATTAAATTTTATTAATCACTAGTATAATATTGTAATTTAATATTAATATTACAATATTAATATTAATTGTTATTTTTTTTTTAATATTGTAAAGCATAACTTTTTAAAGATTTAGATAATAATAGTTATATAATATATCTTAAATATATCTAATTTAACTATTAACAAATAAACAATATAAATTTGATAATAATAACTATATTAATTTTTTTAAAAAACAAATTATTATTATTATTTTTTAAGAAATTATAAAAAAAAAATTTTTTTTAAAGTCTATATTTTGAATGAAGCTATTGTTTTTTAATATAATTCTTAAAAAAAGTCATTACTTTTTAATATAATTCTTAAAAGTTACTTTTTAATATAATTCTTAAAAAAAGCCATTACTTTTTAATATAATTCTTAAAAAAAACTGTTACTTTTTAATATAATTCTTAAAAGAAGAAAGTTAACTGACCAAAGAAATAATAAAATAATAAATTTAAAAATTAAAAGAAAAATATATATATATAACTTTAATAAAAAAAAAAACTTTATTAAAAATTTATAAAAGAAGGTATAAAAAAGAAAAAAGATAAAAAAAAGATAAAAAAGATAAAAAAAAGTAAACATCTCAAAAATTTTTTTAAAAAAAATCTTTAATATAAGAAAAAAGAATTAAAAAAAGTTTTAATTGAATTATAAACTTTATTAATTATATTTACTATTTTAATAATAATTAAAAATTAAAAATTTATATTTGAAAATAACAAAACTAATTTATAATATTCTTAATACATATACTATATTTTTTTATTTTATATTTTAATAATTAAATTAATCTTATTTAAAAATCTTATTACAATATATTTAATCTTTTTTTAACTTATTATTATTTTTTCTAATAAAAATAGATAAAAAATACCAAACTAATATATAAATTTTATATACAGTATAAGTACTTAATTAATAATTTGAGTTTTATAATATTTAAATTATATAGATATTGTATAATAATTTATAAATCACAAATCTTAACTAATTTTAGTTATATATATAATATATAGTTAATTTATTATTTGAATTATTTGAATTTGTAATTTATTTATTACTTAAATAATTTGAATTTTGTAATATTTAACTTATATTAACATATCATAATTTAGATTAACTGGAAACAATATAATTATATTATTTCAATAATTATGAATTTATCAAGAAATATATTATTTCTATGAAATGTATCTATAAACTTAATATTGTAAACAAATAAGTTAGATTGAAAATTTTTATACATGTAATTTTTATTGTAAGGGTTCAGTGGAATTAATAAACAAATAACTCTAGTTTAATTGAGGACTTAAAAAAATTACATTTGGTAATTCACAATAGATTATTATAAAAAAATTTTTTTATTGACAAATTAATAAAAAATAATTGATGCAAAAATTTAATTTATATTAAATTAAAGTAGGCATTAAAAATGTGATGAATAAATAAAATAAAATATCTAGCAAATAAATCAAGAATGTATAGCATAGCCTGAAAAGTACAAAGTTCAAAGCAATTATTAAATAATTTGATTTCCTTATCCATCAAGAAATCTTTTCTAAAGCATAAAAAAACATGATTTTACTTGAAATTCGAGTTTAGCCATTTGAATTTCAAAAAATTTAGCACAATCTTTATGATTATCGTAACTCGAAATGTCTTGACATATCGTATAGCATTTCCTTTAATCACAAATGCATAAAGACTTGACATAAAAACCTGTCTTTCTATCTTCCTATATCAGCCATTTCCTGCATTTGTACTGCAAGAAATATAATAAAGCTTGAAATTCCGTAAATGGGAATTGTATTTGAAAAAAAGCAAATGGATTGACAAAAGAATTATTATTATTGCAAGCACATGTTAATAATGAAATTCTCAAACCTCACTTTTTGGGAATGGCATAGGATCAAGTAAACAATGAAATATGGCATTTGATGGTCCGATAACAAATTCTGTGGTGGCGTGTCATAAATAAATGTAAGTGGGAGCCTTATGACGCAATAAAATTTCTTCGTCATCAAAAAGTTGATAAAAATAAAACAAAAAACAAATAGACAAATAAATTTTCATTGAAGCGGAATTCGTCATAGTACCGAAAGCTGCCGCGTCCTGACGTCTTATTTCATAGAAATTAGTTCTCAATTAGGATGTTAAACCGGTAAACTAACCATATATAGGGTGGAACGTCTATAAATGTGAACTATGTTGAATCCTTCCCATCGAACCATTTTCTTTTTTCTGCTAAATTAGTTTTTGTACGCCAAAAGACGTGACTTACTTTCTTCTTCATTAGACTCGAGGACTGATTTTAAATAGAGATGGTTCGGTCCCGGGACCCTAATGGCTAATTAATTACAGGAAGGGATGCTTTGTTTTGACACCCGTTCTGATCTTCCACAACCTTTCGTTGTCATTTGGTTTCCTTGCAAAGTTACTGCTGTCAATCCAACGGACTACCTATGCACAGCACACTTCTTTATTTTATTTAACGCATTTTACACTTTTTCGTGTAACTTTTTCGTGACAGAATAGGAAGAGACGATAGAAATTTATTTTCACGCGTGTGGTCGAACAATAATTCGATTATGTGCTTTTAGTGTGGCATCATTAATTACAGTAGAAGCAACATATCCTTTCAAATTAAAGGTTTCAAAATTTTTACTTAATCCTTAATCACTATAAATTACACTGCATCCATTCTATTAGTAAAATCTCGCTCATTCCTTTTTTATCTTTCTTCACTTAATTTTTTTTCAAGTTATGAAAAACCTTTAAGCGATCCCTAACATACAATTTCGTCTGTAGGTCATTAATGTTTGTTGTATGGGAGAATCACTACTAATAGTAATAACTGTCATTGTTAAGATCTGCCTTTCCTGCTTACCAAAATTGTAAGTAAGTCGCCATACAAAGATTTCCTTTTAAAAATGCGATCAAATTTACGTAAGAATCACGCGTCTATCAAATAGAAAGCAAACATAATACTTTCCCACCGGTTACTGTATAAGTTGAACTTTTTTTATGTGTCAAACCTTAACATTCGGAGTCCTAACAAGCCTAGGTCAGTCAGTCAGTCAGTCATTATTCTTTATTCTAATATCCAAGAAAGGACGCAGACGAAAGGACTATTTGAAGCTCATTCTATATGAAAGAAAATATAAGGTTTTTGTCTAAATCGAGAAAAGCAATTTGTTCGTGTGAGTTTTAACTTCAACCGAAAAAAATAAAGTTTTGCATATGGCTAGCATTAAGGATGCGGAATAATCAATAAATGTGCGGCATGATATCATGTGTTACCGAATACTGAATGACGTATTAGTGCATTTATTTTTAATATGCACAACAAAAGTATAGTATACCGCTTACGAGTCGTACATGCGTAAATCAACAAAGTTGATGCATGACTGACCACAAGGAAACGGAAAAAATTGGTCAAGAACTGATCCAGAATAATTTAGATTGGTTTTTCGTCTGATAACATTTTGTGTAAACTTAATCATGATTTGTGAAAAACCGGTTATGTAATTGATTTTCAGTGTAAAAAAAAAAAAAGAAAAAAATAGATATTGTATAATGATGGAAGATCACAATTAAAGAATACACACACATTGAGACGTCATTTATTTACACACAAATAATTATGCTCCACATGGTCAAACTGCAATGACTCACGTCCGTAGGTTGGAGAAAACAATATTTGTTATTTTCCAATAAATTCCTCATATTTTGTGATATTTTCTACCATTTTGCTGTCACCAGAATTCTACCCGTTTTACTGTATATTTTCTCTCGCGCGTGTTGCTTATTAGGTGACTTAATCAACAAGTCTATTTATTAAAACTATTATTATTATTCTATTTATTAAAATTGATTATTATTATTACCATTATTATTACTATTATTACTATTATTATATTATATTATAATTATTACCTATGTATATTATTATTATTATTATTATTATTATTATTATTTCTATTATAGTATTTTAGCATTCTATTCTATTCTCATGCTTCTTTTAACAATGAGAATTCATAAGAAAAAATCCTTATAGAGTACGTGCGTCTCTTGCGTCACTGTGAAAGGTGGAGATTGTAGATTACGCACCACAAGTGGTGAGATTAGATTAGGAAAAGACTGCACGCGTTAATTTAATTAAGTGGTGTAGTACATAATGTGGATTGGTACGTACATACGTCTATATACGTAGTTTAAAAATGGGATGATGATTAAAGTAAACCAACAGAAGTTTATCATACAAGCGTTATCATTCATTATACAGGAGTATCTGGCGGCCACGGGTTAGACAATATTGGCTGGTTATAAAATAAATAAATAGGTATATATTTATATATATACGAACGCTTATTCCTTTTCTTTTCTAATGCCTGTTCTTTTCTATCTTGAACAAGTTCTATTATATATATATACATACAAATAATACGTATGTGATTCATTATTGTGCCACCTTTGGATTTTTATAAAACCAGTTGTTTCTCTTTTTTCAAAAAAAGTTTTTTACTGCACTAAATTTTTGCGGTGTTCGTAACACAAAGAAAAAGGTTACGAATATAATACATTTAAATGGTATAAATGTGTTATTCGTTTTCTCATTTATCTTTAAAGCACTTCAGACTTCATTCACACGACATAATAATATAAAAAAGGAATGTCCTCAAAAACCTCATCCCTTCCGCACGAAGTCTATCTTTCAATATTCTCTCATATAGCTACTGCGGACCTTCTCTCGGCTTCTCTTGTGAATCGCAGTTGGCACCACTCTGCCTTATCGCTCCTCTACGCTCACCTTTATCTCACCTCATCTAAAAAACTGTCCTTATTACACAAATACTCACTGATTTCTCGCCATTCTCGACTAATTCACAGTGTGACACTTTATCGGATTGATCTCACGATTCAAGATAAATTGACGTTGGTGAATGAATGTCAAAGTTTGATCTCGATCACGTTGATCAAATGCACGAATATAGATTCAGAATTCTTGAGGGAGTTTGTGAAAGCGAACATGTTTTCTCTCGAGAGATTTTGCATTTGGGGCGATAGCACACCTGGAAACAACCTTGCCAACGAAACAAAGATAACTGACGATCTGCTGACGCCGATGTTGGAATTTTGTGGAAATCTTCGAGAACTTAGGGTTTGCGGTGCTGAGATAACTGATGATTTTTTAACCAATCTAGCATCCTCCATGAGCGATCAACTATCATCCACCTCTTCGTCAATCGAAGATAACAACGATCATGAAATTCCCTATTCCACTTACGTAAACAATTATACGGCGAACATTGAGGATAACATTGAGAATTTTCCTCGTACCAGTAATTCTTCCACGAACACAACAAATTCGGCTTATACAGCAGACAATAAGCATTCAATGACATCATCGTCGATAAATGCTTCTTTTGATACAACCTTAAACACGTGTAGTACGTGTACAAGTCATAATGACACCGCATTTTCTAACGATGAGAGTATATACTTTTATTCACCCACAATAATCACCTGTCCACATCTAACTACATTGGACCTTACTGAGTGCTTTAACTTGACCGCCTTCGGTGTAGCCGAACTGTTTTCTCCACAACAACTACCCAAATTTCACGTTCTCATCCTTCAATATAATTCTCAGAACGACCTTGATCTAGAGTTTTTCGAATTCTTGGCGGACAATTTCAAGTCTCACATTTTTAAAATAAACATGCTAAATTCCAAGGGGTCCAACGGAAAGAATAAGGCGCTACAAACATTTGCAAGGGCGTCTAAAGACCTATATATCTTGGGAAAGAGGAAGAATAATGTACAGGTGATCAAAAAGGAGCGAAGGATATTAGATGAGGAAATTTTGAAGATCTTTTGTGCGAGAGCTAAATTTTAGTGAATAAATATTGATGTAGATATTAGGCAATGAGGAACACATTGTAATACAATCCCACATGTAAGCAGGAAAGACAATCGTATGGTACATGTCTTTTGGTTACAATAAATACTTTATTTTCTCGAACACATACAGTACATGCTAGCAATAGATGCACACAATTTCCTTATTAATAAGGAAAGACCAATTATTTTCCAAAAATATACATATATGATATATCTTACGCTCGGAATCAAAACCATCAATTTGCGCAACATAGTCTTTCGCATGAAATACTGTGTAGTTCCCCTTGGGTAATTTTTTTTTATTTTCAATTTACCGATATCAATGATATTCTTCTGTCGACTTAGAATGATCGAACTTATAGAGACGCTCAAGTCGCATTTAATCAGATACTATGAAATTGAAGCTTTTATTGGACGGCTGATCAATTTACCTGCAAAAAAACGGGTATTACTGTATGTGCATGTACGGTATATTATGAATTTGCGTCATATTTTTTTTCAAAACCGTTAAACATCATGGACATTTTTACTTAAATTTACAGCTGCACGATGACGCAAAAATCTAACGAACTTTGGTATGTCGTATATATTGTGTGTATAGATAAAATTTGACTTTGTTCGGATCGTTGATTTGGATAATTAAAAATAATAATGTATTTATATCATAAATTATGTCAGATTATGTCATATTCAAATTCGCTGATTGCCTAAAAAAAATCTTTGACTTAATATATATACACGGTGATATAAAAAGATTAAAAACAGTATTAAAAACAATTCGAATTAACCTTATAATAACTATAAAAATATAATTATAGAAAAAATTCCCAATGATTAAATGATAAACATATAAATATGATATTGTAAATACAGTATGCGTATGTATAATTGCAAATTCGAAATATTAATATTAAATGGATCGGTTTGTTTTTTATGACATTAAGATTAAATTTGTTTTTTAATATAAAAAATAAATCATTTTTAATGTATAACTGTAACGATATCAAGAAAGCAAATATATTGTGTGTAGCAGAATAACTAAAAGTTATTTGAAATTGAATCTAAAATCTAAAATATGCAAAAGTTTATTTAAATTGACTATAGTAAGAAATTTAATAAATTCTAAATTCCGAATATAAAATTTTTATTTTTAAAATTATATTTAATTATAATAATATTGTTTACGATTCTGCTAACTTTTAAAAAATATTGTTAATACAATATACTATTGTGTTTATATTACTTAGATTATGATTTTCATACTTAAAAATATATCAATAAACTTGTTAAATAAATAAATTACTTTGTTTTATACTTATAATTCTAAGTTATATTAAAAATTGCTTTATTAATTTAATAAATTTTGATTTTTTAAAAATTTTAAATTATCTGATAAGCAATTAAACAAGTACATATAAAATTATATTTAATATTATATATATATAATTTTAAAAATTAAAGAACAAATTATAAATTTAGAGATTATTTTTTTATTGAATTTTTTTAACTTGAAAATTATTAAAAAATGATTCATATATCAATAATTTACATAATCAAAAATTCTTAAAAAATTATATGTTAAAATCTAGGTTCTTTTATATTATTGACAAAAAACCTAACACACCTCAATAAGACAGTTGTCAAAAAAATTGATTTTTAAATTTGAAATTTACCTAATTCAAAAAATAACTTTCTGAAATACAGTTTTTATCAATTTTACTACAGTACGGGACACCATAAGATATCCAATTTAGCTAAAAAGCGCCAATTTTGGACCAGGTGATTCACATGATTATAATCCAATCACATCAAAGGATCAAGTGTAACATAAACAATTTAATTAACTAGTATTTTATAATTAATCCGCCGCTAGTCTATATTTATTAAACAATCGTTGGCCTATGTAGGGTTCTAATCGGTACTATTCAGTATAATATTTTTTAAAACCGATACCGAAATTTTTTTTTGATTTCGGTATCGGTAAGTACTGAAAATTTTTGGTACAGTATTTTTTAAAACTGATACCGAACCGAAAATATCAAAATTAAAAATTAATTAATTACTAATTACTAAATTAGTAATTATTATATCCATAAT